TACAGATAAGCAAACAATATATAAAATAAATGTTCTATAAAATTATAAAGCTTTGCATTTGTAAAGAATAAAGGAGTCTAAATCATGTAGTTGCAAATATTCATATTTTATTTATTTGACCAAAGATTTCTATTCTTCTTCTGTGGCTCTTAAATTTTCTTGTCAAGCAGATTGTCAGTCTTGGTTGCTCACTGTGCTGCCTTCTTGATGCTTAACCTATCCGGTTATCTGCAAAAGATATTCCCTACTTTGTGCTGCACTTCACAGGCCATACATCATATCAGTTTTTCTCTATGAAACCAGCATTTTTTTTGTTTCTTCTATAGGGGCTGGGGCAGCTCTTCAGCTACTGTAAACTGTAACAGCTCTAGCAAAGCTGGAAAACCTTTCTAAGTCTTTTTTAAAATGAGGATCTGTTTTATGTAGCAAGTTTAACTAGCATCATGTATACTGACTTGCATGTTTGCTTTTACAAACAAATAACAGAAAATGAAAGTCAATTTCCTTGTTTAAAAACATTTTTTTTAATAAAGCAATATAATCCTTTTTTTGCTATGCATAGCCTTTCTAATTTTCCAGCAAATGTCTCCTTAGAAGCTCATCTGAAAGGACAGTTCTAAAATTTTCAAGGTCATTCCAATGATCAAACTTTAATCTGTAGTTTCAATCTGAAGCTCATAGGTGGGAGAAAATTCAGAGTACAGCAGGCCTTGTTCATCGTGCTGGTTCCCAGGAAACTGGCTGGTTTGGCTGCCGAATTTAGCTGGCTGGTGTGGGCATATGACCACTTCCTGGCAGACATTCAGATCTGGTAAGATTTTTTTGTAGTTGTTACCCAGAGGGGAAAAGACAACTGTTTTGAACGCACAAGGACTTCAGTTTTATTTTGAAAAGACGAGAGTTGAATGCTACAAAAGCTGAAGACCAATTTTTTACGGGCAAAAATTGCATACACAATATGAAATCCCAGTACCTTTTCCTTTAAATACATGGGTATCAAGAGATGAATCTTACATTAACAGGATTTTTTATCTTCCTCAAACTTGCTGCTACATACACCAGGATAAGCCATTGTACAGTAAGAATGAATATCACCTATTTAAATGGCTGATCCCTATGCTGATAAAACTGTTTAAATCATCAATCAATCAAATTAATCTTTTTTCTTTTTTTTTTTGTGGGTATTCATCAAGACGATATTGTTTCCAAGTCTTACATCAAGGGAAATCATAATCTTCTTCTTTGCGATTTTGGGGATAGTGCTTCGTGTAGAACTGTAGAAGGAAAATGTACCCTAGACAGCTTTCTGTTCCAGTGTTTTCACTAATGATCAAATGCTTTTAAGTGGCACGAAGTACTTTGAAGTAGTGCAGCCAATATATAGTTCCCAATAGGTCAGTCCTAAGGATTGCATAGTATGTAATGTATGATTAACTTTTGTTATCATCAAAGTGTAAATGGCAGTTCAAGACTCATTGGCACTGATTTTAGTTTTAGATGAACGGAAAGGCTGCATCCAAATTATATTGGCTCTCTTCATTTATCCCCAGTTTTATTAGATTTATATTTCATCTAATTCGTTCCAACTGCGAATGTTTCAGATTGTGAAAGATGTACTACCCATGAAGTATTTTACTGTATAAGGTTCAATCTGGCAATGATTATAAAGGAGCATCTTGTCTTCACTTGACTTTGAAATGCTGTATTTCGAAGTAGAGCACTGCACTCCATGTCTGCATAAAACATGGGCTCAAGTAAACTTTCAGTAAACAGTTTAATCTCTTAAAAAGTATACTTATTTTTGACTACACATAAAATTCAGGCTTTTTAAAGTTTCACTACAAAAACACTGATCCATTGAAAATAAGATTACATATATTACTAGAAGTCAGGAACTCTACTTACTTACTATCAAATTCTATTTTAAGGCTACTGTTGAGTTCATGTTACTTCAACTTGGTTTCTAAGGAAACTAAACTCTTCACACTGATAACCATACAATAAGAAAACAGAAAAGAACTCAAGCTAAACCAAAGCAAAACCCCCAAACCAAATATCCCAGTATTTCTCCTTAATGGGCTTATATAGAGAGCAGTTTCAAAATAATATTTTATTGTAACTCAAATTAAAAAATACATTAGGTCATCTGTTCACATTTTTCCATATAAAAAGTGAACATAAGCTGTTAAAAAAAAAGTATTACTTAAGATAATATCCACAGTCTTATTCTTTTACATAATTATTTTCATTAGATAATCTTTTTGCACTGGGAAAGGATTCTTTAGCTGGAAAACACTTTACAAAGGTTCAAATATTTTGTCTGTATACCACATATAGCCTGGATCTTTGAAAACTTCCTGTCCTTAACTGCTTATACAAAATGACTCATGGTGCAAATTATTATTCACAAGTTATTATGTGCATTAATTTGTATTTTTTCCTTTCTACAGGCATCTAAAGATTAGATTTATAGGTAGTGCTGAAGTGCATTTGTCTTTAAATCAAAATTGCAACATAATTTAAAATATATTCACATTCTGTATGGATTTCAAACTATTGTCATCGTGATGATGTTTTGGGTGTTTTGTGGGAGGAGGGTTTTATCTCAGAGTATTGGTTTGGTTAAATACAATACATGGACAGAAGGCAAAGTAAGTTTTAAGGTGTTTTATGAAAAACAGTATTTTTTCCAAGCGTTAAAAACAGCATATGAAAATTTGTAGGGCTAAGTTCTTATGTGGGGTTTTTTACCTATTTTTAATGGAAAAAAAATATGGAGCAGAAAAACAAAAAAAATAGCTATTTTCTCCTTGAAAATGCTTTTGATACTGTCGAACTTTTCATTAGAAGATGAAAATGTCATTTTCTTCAACAGCTGTGTTTGGACTAAAGTCTCAAATTTCAATTTTGTCAAGGAGGAATTTTTTTTATGAGGAGAAAAAGAAAATTCAACTGACTATAATATATAATATATGCAGGATATATATAGGTACACATGCAGGAATACAGAGCCAGCATCTCCGCTGGTGTAAAACATCTAAGTGTCTCTAAGTCACAACTTGCCGAACTAACATCAGCTGCGAATCTCACCTAAGAGAGACATTTTTTGCTTATCTCATATTCACCTCTCTGTGAAATGCTGGAGCTGCTTTCTCAACTGTATGATTCTGATATAAAAGGCATAAATATAGTAGTGCAGGGAACTACAGAGCTAACCCTCTGAACATCAGAACGCGTCAGTGGCAAGAAACACAGGTATGGCTGTGACATTACTTAATAAGGTAATCTTGAAAAACTACTGAAGGAAAACCCAAGCTTGTCTGTAAGAAGGCTACTAAAGTCTTTTCAGGTCTTCAGAAAAATCATGTTTCCAATGTAATTTTTTAAGACTACTTTATGACTAATCTCACATAAAATGATAATGAATTTTTCGTGTCTCACAGTTACTGACCAATGTGGTACTTTTATTTGTGTGAGCAATTCCAGAGATGTGTGTTCTAGGTGGTTCTCAGTTTGCTTCTAAAGCTTTTAACAAATACGCATATAAAAGATGCTTCTACAGCACAGTAATAGTTAATACAGTATTTTCAGGCAAGCACACCAAATTCAACTATGCTGATGACTCTGAACTTCCATGTTAATAAGAAAGCTCCCTATTGATGTTTTTAGGTACCCAAGTTTGTAAAGCTGTACCTTAATGTGTTTTAGCATCTAACTGCACTTTTCTACGTAGCAGCCTTTCAGAATTATACTGAATGATGCTATTAAGCAATACTACACAAGACATGTAGTGAACAATATTTCAGAATCTAACTTGATTCATTTTGATTTTCTAGTTACATTCGAGAATATACCATTTTGCCAAGTGGAACTACTACTATTATATTTTACTTCCTTTGGTATGCTCTGGGCTTTTTACAGTTGTTTTTTAAACTTTCATTCAAGTGTATCCTTCAGTTAGGATTGTAGAATTTAAAGACGAAGAGTCTCATGTGACAGGGAGCATCTAGTCTTGTTTTCTAGTGCTTTCTCCAGGCTGTTTCAAGTGATGGAATCTTATAATTTCTTAGAGAACTTTCACAATTATATATATGTTAAATTAAATGGGGAGGGGGGATAAAATATCTATGCTTACAAGTATGTAACTTCAGGTGGATGGAGTTAAACGGAATGTATGTAAAATTTTGATAGCTCCCCCACTAAGCTACCAAAAAATATATTTATTAATGCCTGATTTTTTATGCTGATCTTTATAAAGTACAACATGTGCTTCTATTAATGACTTGGTTCCAGAGAATAAATTAATTGTGGCTAAGGAATTTCTTGCTACAACACTCAGAGGTGCACTTCTAGCACTTCTTTGAATTACCAAATGCAGAGCAATGCCACTGACTTCACTGGTTTTACAGAAGATTTGTGTGTTTCATCAAAGATCCAGATCTTTTGCCCTACAGACCTATATTCTTCATCTTTCTTGAGTTACAGAACCAGCTCTACTCTGCTCTGAAGCTCAAAAGTAGCAGTGTTTCTCCTTCAGTGTCTAATTTGGTTATCTGGGTTACAAGTGGAAATACTTCAGGCAAGAAGTTATCAGTGCCTCTATGGAGCATTTAGATACTGAAATATTTGAAAAACTTCTGTTAAACATTGCTTGGAATGGTACAGGATGTAATTACGGGAATGACACTCGGTCATTACTCAGTGGTAAGCCCATTTTTTGTTCTGCTTTTGTGTGGAAAGGCAAACTGAAGACCAAACTGGTCTGGCTGAGGACTGCTGAATCCTCTTTTGTTAATTTTGTTCTCTCAAATTTGAAACATCACTCCCTCTCTCTGCAAGGTGCCCAAGGCAGATGGCCATCCTTCCTGTCTGAATGGTGACGGGCTTTCTCCAGGCTGTTCCATAGGACCATCCAGTCAAGGAGGACGCGTGAAGGGACCTTCCACCATTCTCTTCTAAGACAAAGCTTAGCAAGTAACTACAACAGAATGCAAGTTTGGTCAATTTAAGAATTCGGCAGAGAGGCTTCTACTGTACCTAGCGGATCGAAACTTGAGCTCATGGTAACATTGCACAAAGCTGTGATAAATGAAAGTGATTGGCAAGGCTAATAAAACGATGCCACTAACCACACAAATTCCTCCAAGAATCCTTCCTGGTACAGTGATGGGACACATGTCACCATAACCAACCGTGGTCATCGAGATGATAGGAATGCTGGCGTAATCCTTATTCTTTGTTCCCAAGTCCAGCCCATTTTCAAGCAGCTGGGAAAGTGCACTGAAAATTGCCATAGCAACACAGATAAAGACAAGTAGCATCACCATCTCTCTGTAACAACGCTTCAGAGTCAGACCAAGTGTTTGAAGGCCAATGAAATGACGGGCCAGTTTAATCACCCAGAAAATCCTCATCATTCTTAAGACCCTCAAGGTGACTCCAGCCCTCTGAAGCTGTGAATTTTCCCCTGTGAAAACTGTCATTAGAACAGAGATGTAGTAAGGAGTAATAGCCAGCAAATCAATGATGTTGAGAGGTCTTCTGACAAACTCACACTTGTTTTTGGAGACGATGAACCTCACTATGCACTCTGCAGTGAACCAGCCTATGCAGATAGCTTCAATTATCCTGTCAAAAGAAAAAAAAGTACAGTATTTATGTTCTGTGCAAAAGCTTTAGTGCACGCTTGGTTTGTTCACAAGTATTACCAAATTGACACTCTGACCTTCACGAATGACAAACAGAAAGCTATGCTATTCTTATTCTACATGTGTAGCACCAGATTTCAGCAATTAGCCTGAGGATCCAGTGAGGAGTTTAAACTGATCATTGCTAAGAACTCACTCACTGATCATTTTCTTTGAACTACAGATTGCTACTGGTCCTAACACTGGGCAAATATGCCTACAAAAACTGGAACCCTACAGGAAACGGTATACCATGGATGCCAATGTGTAGCATAATCTAGAACACCTTTTTTGTTGTTGTTGGTTGGTTGGGTTTCAGGGGATTTTGTTCATTTTTTTGTTTGTTTTAAATCTGTGAGGCCTAATCCACTTGGGAATGGCAAGGACTGTGGATCAGTGAACTGGTTGTTTATGAACAGCAATGTTTAGAACTAGACTCCTAGACTCTAATGCAAGAGAAGATGGAGTAGGCAGAAATCAGCTTTTGCATTGGATAATTCACGCAAATTGGCTCTTCAGAAACCAACCTAAACCAGTCTGTCTGATTTGCATCCCAAACAGGGGCTTACCTAGAACTATATTCAGAACTTTATCGGTATTACCACTAAATACAGACGGTGTTTTATTTTTCATCATTGGGTACACAAAGTAATGAGCTTGTGTCCTCCCATTTACCACTATGCTCTGCATTACTGATTTTTTTTGTTTGTTTTAAATGTAACTCCACCTAAACTGCGTTGCACCAAAAATGTCAAGGTAACAAAAGCAATAAGCAAGATCATCTTCTTGCCAAATACTAATAACGACCTTAAGAAAAGAAATCCTGGAAGGTGATTTCAGTATGTTCTTAAATATATTTTCAAGTCCCAGTGCAGTGAATGAGACTTGAGAATATCTCAACTTGGAACCAGTGGAAGGCAGAAACAGAAGATGAAACTGTTGCTCTGAGATTATTTACTAACTGTTGTGCATGTAGTCTCAAATCTCCCATCTGGAAATAAGCCTTTTCTTAAGAATTCTGACTGTGTTCAATGGCAGCTAATCTTTCCCTCTGTCCTTTGTTTGCTTATCTTTTTTCACCAACAGTTTGAGCAAAGAAAAAGCCAATCCAGCAGTGCCACCTCATATCAACAGGAATGAAACCAAACTGACATGAGATTGGAGATCTGAAAATACTACATATAACCAGAGCTTTTTTGCTGCTGCAGGGATCCTAACAAGAAAGTGTCCATAGAAACAGTAGTGATTTGTAAGTAATAATCTGACTGTCAAACCTAAAATTCTGCTGCTTTAACACATAATTTTGCATCATAATTTTTTACGAGTTCTGTAATCTTGTTATTATTAAGACAATGGCCTGCTAGAAAGACAATATTCCTTTGCAACTGCTGTAATTGTCATAGAATCATAAAATGGTTTGGGTTGGAAAAGACCTTAAAGATCATCTGTTCCAAGCCCCCTGCCATGGGCAGGGACACCTCCCACCAGACCAGGTTGCCCAAAGCCCTATCCAACCTGGCCTTGAACACTTCCAGGGCGGGGGCATCCACAACTTCCCTGGGCACTCTGTGCCAGTGTCTCACCAATGACGCTATTTATACAAATTATACTAGTAGACTCTATAAACTAACTTTCATAAAAGTTTCATATGCTAAAGGTTTTTTTATTATTAGTGTTGTTTTATTCATTCACTTTAGTTTTATGCTAAAAAGCAAAGGAAATGGTAATCGTCATTTGTTGTAAAGTCATAAGGTGCACTGTAATTCCAGACACAGAAAATTTAAATTAACATAAATTAACTACTTAAAGAAACCGTTATTCACATAAAACCAGACCTTGTTTTTCTTGTTTCGTGAATAACAATGAAAGTTCTGTAAGCAAGTGGCCTTTCTTCATAAAGGGCTTCTAAAACACTTGTACATGTTACCATCTTTTGATGGAAAGACCTGTGAATTTCAAAAATAGCTTGCTCTTAAGAATTATGTGTTCTCTAAAAAACTAAGTTTTTGAAAATACTTGTGTATCTTTTAATAATCACAGTGAGTGATGACAACCTCAGATGCAGATTTAATTTCTTTTAAAAAATATTCAGATCTTGTATTCTAAACAAGTGCAGAATATATGAAAGTTATTGTATAAATGTGGATTATTGTTCCTTTATGTTACAAAAAATCAATTAAAAATGTTAATGGGTAAGTTCTCTTAAATCCTTTTTACACATGATGAGCAAATACTTCAGGCTTTCCCTAGAAAACTCAGTCAAACAGCAAGATCATGGACACCAATAAAGTCTGAATGTACTTATATGTTGGCTAGTTGAGATCTCATGTAATGATTAAAAGAAAAATTGTATCTGGATAGAAAGCTGCAGCCAGGAATATTCAACAATTCCAACAGACTCTATTTCATTACATTTTATGTGATTTCTCTGGTAGGGCTGCTTGTATCCTGTGATATGGAGCATTTGAATGAAAAAGCAATTCGTAATTATACAATGTGAAGCTTTTTCACTTGGTATTTCCTTCTGAAGCCCTGATAATGTTCGAAATGTGATTCCTCCATTTTGTCTCAAATTAGGCAGGTTATCTCTGAGTTGAGCTTTAAGAAAGTTAGGTCCTGATCACTGTAATTTGGTAGAAGTCTCCTTTATGAATCAACATGGATTCAGTGGTCCAGTGTAACTTTGGGGAACAGTTGTACAAGTAAAAATGCAGGAAATGTGACGAGTCTATTGTTTTACTCTGGCAGTTCCTAGCACAAGAGATACTGTACATCAGTTATACTTCAGTAGAAAGGGCTGAAGAAGCCTTTTATTGTAGAACAGACTTGAGGAGAGCTAAGGAACATCACTGATGTAAAAATGACAAAGCAAGATCAAGACAGTGGGAGGTGCATTACTGCCACTCCGTTGTACATTGCACTTCCATTTCTCCATTTTACATCTATCCTTCTTTCTCATCAATTACATGCATCCTGGCTAGGGAGAAGATAATGAAGAAGGGTATCCCTTAATTTTTTTTCTTTCCTCTGCTTTTGCTTTCTCCTTTCCTACTTCTTGGTCACCAGTGAAACACTTATTTTTCCTCTCTTGTCACTCCTTTTTTGCCTCTGTGTAGATGGATTTTGGTGAATCACGGAAGTATGTAAGTGAAGTGTGTGCTTGGGTGAGAAGAACTAGAAACCCCTGGCCTGTTGAGAAATCTGGAGTGCTACATATACTACGTTTCCACTTTCAGATCAAGTCTCCCTCTCCTTGTAGTGACTAATCTTTATAGCTAACCTCGTAAATGGATAAATAACATCTAATAAGGAAACAAATTTAACAGTCTTCAAGAGAACTTAACTGAGTAGGAAGTTAAAGCCAAATAAAATGCATGCACTTGGAAGACTAAAGTTACTGTATCTTCTGTAGTCAATTCTCAAAATATTTGCTGTGCATTCATAGGACCAAAAGTCTTTTATTTCCTATTCCTGGAATAATGCTGTATTAAAATCTACAACTACGTAATTAAATCACGAGCTTTCTTTGGTAAAATGTAGCACCTATTTTATAAACTCCCAACACAGGTTTTGGTTGTTTTTCTCACTCCATCAGTTCAGTTTTTAAATAGCTGGTATTCAAAGAGGAGGGGAGAATTAAAAACAAACTCATTAAGTGTTTTCTTGAAGATTCCCCACAAAATTTATAAATAATCAGAGAAAATACTAAGTCTTCATTTTTATTCAGTTACATGTTATTTCTGCTCAAACTTATTGCCCCAGACCTAGGCACATGAAAGTTTTTCTCCAAAAATTTTAACCCTCTTGGTATTTAACAGTCTTTCAAGATTGCTTTAATGACTCTCTTGTCCATAAATGGAAAACCAAGCCTTGTTGAGCCTTGTTTCTACTGTAATCCCATTACTTTTCAATTTTCTGTTCCATCTGATAATTTCCTTTCAGAATAAGCTATTTTATGTACAATGAGTTAAACCACTTCAGAAATTATTTTTTCAATCACTGACAAGACTAGTTTGTTATTAGCAAAAACATCATATTGCGAATGTCTTCTTAGAATATTTCAACTCAGCATTATTCTTTGCCCCAGCATGCCAATTTGTATACTTTCAATATCCCCTGGTGAGCTGGTTGAAATCTAGCCAAAATATTTGTCAGTGCCAATATTATCTATTAAGCTTGTAAATAAAATATGCACATCAACGAGACACACGAGGAAAACAGATTATATGATTAAAGACAGTATACAACAGGATTAAAGATTGAAGTTTCTCAGGACTGATTTGTTAAATTGGTGCTAAAGCCTGTTTCAATGTAAAGCACGTTAAATCTGAAAAACATCCACACAGTACCCAGAATGATCAAATTCCTGCTCAGGAAGACTCCTAGCCATTTCAGCAAGTGTCTTTTCCTTTAATCCTTTTGAAATCAACAGCATTTCTGTCTCTCTAAAAACTGTAGAATAAGGGCCACAGAACAACTCATTTCCCTGCATGAAAAACTTTGATGGCTTTTTTTTCCATTCTGACCCTGCTTTGGTAGCAATAGTATGTCTTAATGCATTAAACTCTGGTGCCGTATGTGGGGTCAAATGGCTTTCACAGCTCTCAGGGGACACCTGGATATGAACATCTCGAGCCCTGGTGTCCTCAGCATCTTCTCCATATACTTTGAACACGATTGGCACCTCGCCTTGGTGAGTTCATTAAGGTTCTCTTGTGGCCCAGCAGTGATACACGTCTCTTTGTGTCATCTCTATTTTTCAAAAAGCTTCTAAATTCATGAGAAGAATCCACATCCCTTTTTTTTTTTTAACTTAGGTCTGTAATTGCATTCTTTACCTTCAGCCTACTGTTTTAACTCAGCAAAAATGTGGTGTTCAGGTTAGATCTCACCCAGGAAAGAAGTTTGTGGTTTTTTTAACAGATGTTGGATGTGAGCATT